GCGGAGGCCACGCATAGCTCCACTGTGAAAGGCAAATTATTTTGAAAGCAGTAAATTTTATGTAGCATGTCATTTCAAAACTGATTTAATGATTATTAAATGGTGTACCGTGGAAAAATTGATAAGTGTTTGTCTCAATATTTGAAATTTAACGGATCAACTACCTACTGTTTAAGCAAGGGATTACAAAAAGTTAAAAAAATTAACGCTACAAATGCGTTTTGGCGTTGGAGGAACAAAAATTACAGCAAAACAAGAAGTAGCTTTCTTATCACCTAGATTTTGCTCTGACTTAACCAGTTGAACACGCGTCACGTCGTAATTACGATTTCCCAAGTCCCTAGTCGGATCTTCCTAGTAGGGCTTGAAAGCAGCATAAACGGATTCTTCCTTTTAAGGCAGATCGACTTTCCCGGCTGCGGAAGATGCCGCTCCCAGCGCCGGGGATCCTGGCGGTTTTCCGAGGGTGGAGGCCAGACATCGGGTGGCGTGTTACGTGTGTCCCCGTATATGACTGAATGTTACAATGTAACAATACAATAAAATGACCTAGGAACAATATACTAATAAAACAAAGTGACAGCGGGAAAATTTGCTAATGTAACAATAACGTAACCGCGGAACAATTTACTAATGCAACAATAAAGTAATTAGCGGAACAATTTACTAGTGTAGCAAAGTAACAACGGAACAAATGTATTTATAATTCCATTGCAGAAAAAAACACAATATCTAGATGGCATCAGCGAAATCAATGACATTATTCAACGTTTAACTAAAGTAATTTAACAATTAGAATAACTATAAACTCTGCAATTCTCCAATCATTCACTAGCTCCTGCTTTTAGACACTTTAAATCAGCTGCTGGCTCTGCCTCGCGCTCAGACTTGGCCCTTTAATAGGCAGTAATTTCTCATTAAAACAAAAATATCTATATCTGAGCATTCCTCTTAAATAAAATCAAAAGGTGTCACACAAATGCATAAACCATCAATCTAACAACCGCAGATTACAAAGATGCCAGTCCACCAGAGGGCATGGTAAAGAGCACCCTAGAGAGGATGCCAGTCCATCACAAGTTGCAAGGAAGGGAACACCCTGTATAGGATGCTAGTCCAACACAAGGCATAAGAGGGGGACACCCTGGATAGGGAGCCAGTACATTCAGGGCAGAGGGAGGGGACATCCTGGACTAGATGCCAATCCATCACAGGACACATACATTATGTGCAATTTAGAGACAGAAGTTAGCCTAACAACATGTTTTCACATTACAGAAGGAACCCACACCACCTTACAACTATGAAATACAAAGAATAGGCTATCTATGAGTTCATATACTGTAGTAAAATGTGAATACGCTTAATTTATCCATTCAGATGCTACTGATGTGCTTGACTACAGTTGATCGCTGATCTTGGTAGACTGGAGACTATACACAGCTTTCCATTTTCCTTGAATGAAATAACACATCATTAGGTGTCTGAAAAAGGCTGGAAAATGTACACGTATACCAGCTCCGTCTCCACATTGGTACCCCATGCTTAAAATTGTCTCACATTTGGTAACTGAAATGAAAATGAATCAGTAAAGCCCTCTAGTGTCTCAATTCTGTAAGGGGAGCACCTGTGAGATGTACTTTTTCTTCAGCACTAAATCATATATGTATTGAACATACAGGCTGCTGTAATAACATGAATTATTCCATTATTTTCAAAAAAGATTTCTCAGTAGCATAGTGAAGACAGGACAGACTAGTTCAGTTATATGCTTTAATATGGTTTATTAAATATTGCATAATACTGAAATCACAGCAACTTCTTATTTTAATTTAGTATTGTAACTGTAACAACACTGCAGATAGTAGCAAACACGTTAGCCCCTTTTCCAGGATGAGTATTACATCAATTACAAGATCATAACCCTCATAACATATTAGAGGCTTTATGTTATAATGTAATCCCCATACTGGTAATTATCATTCTCCTGTCACATACTTTAAAACAAAAGGAGTGACACCTTCTAATATGATGCAGGTACAAACTTAAAAATAATTAAGCAAAATGAACCGGCTGACAATTGAATAAATGATGAAAAGGCATTTTTATAATCCCACAATGAAAGATAATGCAGATTGCATGTAATCCCACAGTGAAAGCTGGTGCAGATCACATGTAATCTTACAATGAAAAATGATGCAGAATGCATGTAATCCCATACAAACATGATGCAGATTGCCTGTAATCCCAAAATGAAACATAATGCAGACTGCATGTAATCCCACAATGAAAGGTGATGTAGATTGCATGTAATCCCACAATGAAAAATGCAGCGTAAATATAATCTGTGAGAAATGATGAGCCTTTCATGTAATCCCAAAATAAATGATCATGAGATGATGATCATACATGTAATCCATAATGCAAAGCATTAAATAAAAATAAGACGTATGTGTAATCCCATGTGACAGCATGAAACTGTCTTATACATGAAAATTGCTCATTATCGCTAACATGGTCAGTGACCTCTCCTGCTGTGACTTGCTCTTGTGTCACGTACACACAAAATACATGCACACACAGGGTGGGGTGAAGAAAAAAAAAAATTCCAATGGCAATTTCCAATAGTGCGGAAAAGTTGTCACTGGACCTCGTTATTAAACGTGCAAAATATCATTGAAATAGGTTAATATTTTCAGGTTCCGCAACGTGATCGAAGTTTTCACCTGTCACATCAATGGGCAATATACACTAGCCATTATCTATACTCATCGGTGTTGTGTTTGTGCACTTTCACAACATGATAATCACTACAAAATACCAACGTTCAGGTAACGCAGATTTTTACTGGGTATCAGCCATACACATACATTACATCGCTCTGCGGCTCTACGTGCATTACGATTAATTACCTGTCACATCAATGTGCAGATCCACGCTACAAATCATCCATATCATAACGCAATGTAAAATTGTTCCTCAGTGCCACCAAAATGAAAAGTATCAAGCATGACAGTCAAAATGGTTAGATACACTATACTGCCAAAAATATTGGGACACCTGAATTCAATGATTTGGAGGGGTGTCCCAATATTTTTGGTAAGACCGTGTATCTAACCATTTTGACTGTCATGCTTGATTCTTTTCATTTTGGTGGCACTGAGGAACAATTTTACATTGCGTTATGATATGGATGATACGTAGCGTGGATCTGCACATTGATGTGACAGGTGAAAACTTCGATCGCGTTGCGGAACCTGAAAATATTAACCTATTTCAAAGATATTTTGCACGTGTGTGTGGGTAAACTCATGCAGCACCATGCATGAGTAAGTGTTCATATGCTTTTACATCCTAGTGAACAAGGAGGCTGCCAGCCAGTCATGTGACTCATGCCATCCTCTGATTGACTGGATAAAGGGAAAACCAGATGTTACACATTCCACACAGGCCAGCTCTCGGGGTCAGCAACTGACCCCTGTTTGTGTTTTAGGGTGGTACAAGCACCACAGGATGTAGTGAACATAACAGACATTCACTCTCTGGTAAACCAAAAAAAAGTAGTCCCATCAATGAGCTGTCAGAACAAAACAGTCCAAATCACATTTGAAGGTTGACCCAGATGAGGATATCTTAGGCTGCATATATGACCCAGTTCATAGGTGCTTGGGGGCAAATAGACAATTTCCCTTTGGCAAATAGCAGGTGGCAGGACTGAACAGATCAAGCCCCAAATCACTAATGACATGCCTTTAGTATGTATTAGAGGCAGGATCTTGGTGTTTTCATTCAGTTAAGCCATAAAGCTGCAGTGCAGCCCACTTGAGAAAACCTCAAATGCAGCCTGGTCACAGTCACTGGAAGCTAAAAATTATTAGATGATTTAAATTAATTTCATTAAAATTTTCAAATGTTATCAGGATATAATATGTCTATTTTCATCTATTATGTCCTACTTCCATTTTTTAGTTTTAACTGTGTCCATGTTTTAACTGTGTTCCCATGTTAAATAATAAGATACTCTAAGTACAAGCAAATCACCCCCCATGAAATTTACATACAGTAGCAGAGCCATTTAAACGAGTGTATATTACGAGGCACACAAACGATAGGAATACAAACTCAAAAGAGCCAAAGTTTAAGCAGGAGCATCACTTGCATTTGCAGTTTAATCCCCGGACTGCGAATGCATCTCACTGAGGATTCAACACAGAAACACAGCAAACTGCCTCTGGCCTGGTTCCTGAATGGAGAAGTTTGAAACAGGCAGAACTCGGGACATTTTAAGGCTTCTCATGCTTTCAGGTGAATCCTACAGAAATGCATGCCATGGTCTAATATGTGTTAAAAAGTAACAAAAACCAACCATCAACCCCAGGTTGAATTCAGTTCCTGGGAATCATTTAAATACCTATTAAAAGAAACACTAGAATAGTGCTCACTGTTTCCTTTCACTCTGAATGTAACACAAAGTGAGGTAATGAGATGTGAAGTCACAGAAGGGTGGCACCTTAATACAGTCTTTTTAAAAGTTGAGCTTGATAGGATCCTGAGACCCAAGAGGGAAGTTAGACGCTTTTATGCTTTCAACTGTAATTTCATAACATATCACTCAAAGTAATATGTAGAGCACATGGCTTCTTTCACCATAACAGCAAAATTTAAATTCTTACTATAAACAAAAATATGATGGGAAAAACAAAGTTTTAAACACCCCACCAGTAAATCTAGTAACACTGTCTGTCTCCATATGAATTATACTTCTGATATCATTTCTGTATAAACTTCTTATTAAAATATAATCATACATACTTTACTGAAAGTACTTTTTGTAAAAATATGTGTCTCTTTTCATTATACGGAGGAAACATTTCTAATATAATATGTACAGCTCTGCACACAAATAAAGTCAATCCCAGTTATAACATTTTCAACCAGGACAAATACTGTAAAATAAATAACAATTTTACTCAATAAATACAAATAAGGAGACAGTGTTGGATCATATTGTATTGATGATAATACTAAGACAACTGTAACTACAAACACAGTGATGACTGATGCTAAACGGCATTCATTGTTAACATATCATCACATTAAGAAACCATAGTGCTTATTCATTGTTTTTCAGGATATGTTATGAAATTACAGACCCTAAAACTGCAGCCTAAAACAATATTACAGTTACTGTCATATAAAATTAAACAGGCTAAAAAAATAAATAAAACACAGCAGAGGTTACCTTATTGCTAGCAAATTAATATGAATACATAAACTGAAGTCAGGAATGTGCAGTAACTGCACCAAGCTACAAGCTGACATCAGAGCAGGCAGATTCACACTTGTGTGCACACACGCACATACACACTCACTCGGGTGTGGCCAGATTGCATATCCGGTCATACTGAAGGCATTTGTTACGTTATCAGGTCAATGGCATTCTAGCTTATTTTCACAAAGCACATGAGAAATGTTAACGTGCAAAATTACTCTGTTCAGCTTAGTGCTCAGTTAGCTGCCAAGCCAATGATATTGAAGCAAATATTTACAGAGGAGCCAATCAGGGGGTGCTGAGGTAAGCTGTATTGTGTTAAGGTGAGAGAAGTGACGTTAGTGCTTTACATGAGTCACCGTGGTGACTTCTAAAATGCTGGACTTATTCAAACCAAAGTGCCACACTGAGAGGTCCATCTTATATAAAACTCCTGGTGAAACACACTGCCATTTCTGGTGTGCTGACACCCCACACTGTGCATGTAACTCTTACTTTATAGTATTTATATAGTGTTTTCTATGAGTGTTAGGCTGATCTAGCAATTAAAATAACAATACCAGACTGTGAAGTATTTACAAGTTAAAACAAGACTTCAGCATTTCTCTTGTGGAACTGAAGTGCTTTTTTTGGAAAGTGTGATTTTGACTGTAGCTGGTAGGCAGCTAAAACATTCCCTTAGCGTTGTGAGAACGTCAAATCTGTCAGCTGGGTAGTGACAGAACCAGGACAGCTCTGTGGTGAATCTGTGGACCTCTCTTTCTCTTGCTCTCTGTTTCCCTCAGGTTTTCATGTGAACCACACTACAGCTCCTTCGACATGGAGCCCACTGATCACATCCCCAAAACTTGCTTTGACCTGGCCAAGAACCCACCTGCCAAAAAGTTCAGGCATAACAGAAAGTCATTGCTTTACAAACTCAACATACAGCCAAGTGACACTGTGGAACATGGTGTAGTCATTTACAGCATTTATAGGCTGGTAGGTTTAACGTAATTCCCCGGGAAAGTGCCAAACTGCTTTGTTCGCCTGGATGTGCCTGTAAACAAAGAGGTAAACAGTAGGTTGAGTACATGACCCAGAATCACGAATACACAGCACAGGAAGCTGTTGCGGTTAATCTGTTGTGGGTGGCCTGTGCCATATGTGAGTGCTGGGACGTACCGACAAACCAGCCATCGTCACACTTCTCCATAACGTGGACCAGGTCTCCCTCTCTCAGCTCCAGCTCATCTTCATTTTGTGGTACATAGCTGTAGAGGGCCTGGAAACTGTGGGGGGACAGAACTCTTTGTACTGTGCTCACTGCATGTATTCACGTACAAATACTCACACTCCCTGTAGTCATGAACTAACACTCACACTACATGTATTCATGAAAATATACATATACTTATAAACAAATACTGACACTCCACGTACTCATGAATTCATACACATACTCTACGTACTTGTGAGGATATACTCATACACGGTATGCCAACACTGCATGTAATCATTAATACATACTCACACTCTGAGTATACTCATGAGCATAAACTCTAGGACATACTCACATGCCATAGCCCATATGGCTGAGGTCAGGACTGTTATTCTGCCGCTGGGGTTGCTGGGAAATGATGAAAGATTGTTTACTGGTGTGGGCCACTGGTCTGTGCACAGAGTCAAAGGGGCGGGACAGGTTGCTGCAGTAACGCACAGACCTCTCCGCAATGTCCATGATCTCGTTGCAGACTGCCTCCTAGTGGCAAACCCATAAGACAGGTGCCAACAGCCCCTCCCCAGCCCCGCCCAACCCATCAGGATAGCCAGTCAGATGGCAGAGGTGGGTTAGCAGACAGGGTGAGGGTCAGAGGCAGTCAGAGTCCATTCCAGTGAGTAGGAAGGTGGAAAGGAATCCGTTAAAGGCAGGAAAACCAGGAAAGATGGAAGGAGGTGGGATCCGGAGGAAAGCATGGAAAAGCAAGACACAACCATAAGTGTGCCTGTGTACACTTTAATATCACACTGGTGAAGAAAGAACAGACTTAATTAACTGATGTTTTCACAGCTGTTAATGTTTAAGGGTTAAATTCAGACAGCACTACTGAGTCAGTGCGATATGTGTCTTTAAGAAACCTTAAGTAGACAAGATGAGTATGCTGTTCAATCACCGGGAGACCAGGAGACAGAACCATTTACGTCATCAGGTCAAAACAAGATATGCTACATTCAGCTGGTTTCTAAACTGGTTATTTAATTGTAAAGCATCTCTTTCATTGCCTAGCTGTCCTGGTTCTGTCACTACCCAATTCCATTTCTTGGGTTGCCTGGCACAGGACATGCATGATATTACTTCTCTAAAACACTAAACTTCTTACACGGTGTGATGTTTTTATCCTGCTAGAGAGATCACAATTCAAAAAACAAATGCCGCTCCTTACCGCAAACGAGTTGGCATTTATAACATTTTCCTGGCTGTCAACTGGCAGCACTGGGCTTCTGGACAATCTGCCTTGGTAATCAGCTTCACTTTTCACCAGCTGGGGACAAGAGAACAGCTTTACTTCAAACAGCACAGGGACGATTTGGGATGTCGAGCAGTGAATGTGATGGATAAAATATTGGAAACACTGCCAGGAACTCAGATACTGGAATTTCGGCCCCCATGTAGACAGGGCATGGAGATAACCTGGAATAAGCAATACCATGGGCTTGCACAGACGCCTGGCTAGATCACCAGGCCTCTTTGGATTGGAAAACAACTGTATGTGTGGATTCACAAACATGTAAAACCATACATATGAGTATAAAACCTGTGACCATATACCCAGGTATTTCCAAATTTTACTCCATACACCACTACTATTTGCTGATGAAGTGTGGAAAGATGTTAGTAGAAGACAGTATTAGGTAAAATAACTGAGAAAATGTGAGTGATATTTCTAAGTCATAACAGTGGTGCCATGAGTTCTTACAGAAGTTCTTCCTCTCTTCCTTTCTTATGTTCTTATTATGGAATAGTCTTCCTTTTAGTGTAGTGGAAGCTAAAACCTTGGGTTCCTTTAAATCTGAGCAGGAAAAGATTTTAACATCTCTGAGCTATTAGCTGAATTCTCCTCAAACAAGCTTGATGGATCAAATGGCCTCTCGTTTGTAAATTTCATATGTTCTACGTTCTTTAGTGTCAAAATTAACAATAACAGTATCAGACATGATTAAATTGGTGAAAACTAGACCAAAACAGCCAAAGCAGTGTGCCATACAGATGGCCATTCAAGACCTTGCACAAAAACACAATAGATAATCGCTCAAAAGCAAGTAAAAGAACACAGAAGATAACCCATTAAAACCTGATAAAGTTAAGCTCATGTTTTAGTGAGATGTTTTCCTGGATCATCCCAAACAGCACTGCACACCATGCAGGTGGTCCTTCTCCACACATACAGGAAGAATTCAGTTAAAGCTATGCATGCTGTTGTTTCACTCAGGCCACACTGCACTGTACACCATGCAGACGGTACCTCTGGACTATTCTGCCAGTCACCCAGAAGGTTCCCTTTGTCTAGCCATGCCCCCTCCCCCCGCTGAAGACACGCCTCTTGGTTCCCCCTATTCAGCCGGCTCTCCAGCCCCGTCTCTCCTCGGTAAAGCCCCCCCCCTTCTCCTTGAAGCTCCGCCTCCAGGGTCCTTAGGGGGCTGCTCCCGCTCAGCCAGCTCTCCAGACCCGCACCCCCACAGGGGCTAAGGCTGCGTGAGAGGCGGGGAGAAGGTGGGCAGAGCAGGAAGTCCTCCCCCTGGGGTGGGGTGAAGGTGAGGAAGGGCGTGGCAGAGCCGGGGCGGGGTGGGGGGGGTGGAGGAGGGAGTGGTGAAGCAGATGGGGAGGCGGAAGGTGAGGCACAGTAGGGACTGCCCCCGACAGGTGGAACGGGGCTGGCAGACAGGGAGGGGGGCAAGTACTCGCCCCAGCGGTATGACACACTGGGAGGGGGGGGCAGGGGGGGCGTGCCAGCTGCAGGAGGGCTGCAGCCCACTCCCATCGTCAAGGCGATCCACTCAGAGGAGACAGCGTGCACCTCAGGAGAGACTGACCGGCGGTCGGAGCGTGGGAGGGGGAGAGGGGCAGTAGCCAAATGATTACGGGGGGGCTTTGAGATAGTAGAATTGACAGACAGATGAAGAAACAAGATACATGGGAGAAAAGAAGAGGGATGTCAACATGAGTGGAAATGTACAGGATATCTGCGACGATTGGCTATAAACAGAGACACTCATCCTCCGTCAGGATAGGCTTGCCATAACCAGACGTCTGATTGGCTGAAGCAGCCACACCCCATCCCTGCCTTACCTGTGGAGAGGCGTTGCTGCTGCGACAAGGTGACTGACTCAGGGGGGGGTCTGGGTAATCCACGCCATTTTTAACACGGGGGCGCTTGTGCACCTCCACATAGGTCACAGGGAAGATTCCCTGCCGGTTGGTGCCGGAGATCTTGCCCTCATACCAGTTCTCGTCCACTCTGCGGATGAGGGTGATTCGCTCCCCCTGTAGAAGGAACATCGAAGGGGGGGGGGGGGGGGTTGACAGAGATGCCCGTTGGTTCTGTGAGTACAGTGGGCCTTGCAAAACCAGCCCACCACTGGCCTGTGGTCCCCACTGTCGTTTGAAGGTGCAGTCGTCATTTGGAGAGGTGCGGCTGAGTGAACATATTTTATTCTTCAGGTACTGGGTGTGATTTTTCAGTTGACCACTGACCTTTCTGAAGGACATCTCGACAGCCGTGTCCCCAGTGAAGGTGAACCTGGCCATGGCTTCTCCATACTCCAGTACCTGGACCGGAGTCTGTTTTTTGGGTTGGGCCTTCTCTGTTGGAGGGAGGAGCTGAAAAGAACCAGCATGAACCAAACACATTAAATATGGGAGCTAAAGCAGGTCGCCAGCTACCTATGTCTGCTGAAAACAAAGTCAGTAATCTTGCATGCTAAGGAGAAGTGGTACCGTTTAAACTTGGCTGCTCAATTTACCCCATTCAGGAATGGTGAGCAACAAGATCATAAAAACATCTTACCTCCACGTAACTGCGGGGGAAAATACCCACGCGGCCATGATGCTCGCCTTCAACCCAGTTCTGATCGATCTGACGACAGATGTACACGATGTCTCCCTTGTGGAAGGGGAGCTCTCTGAGGGACAAGAGCAGAAGGGCCACTGCACCATCACACCAGCATCACTAAGTACTGTGATCTCACATAATAAAAACCAATCTTCACTTGAATTATGTTTACTTTGCATAATAGTGTCTACCAAACTACCCCTGAGCTGTATACTTTTGTTTTCCTTTATAATATAGGTTTGATATTGCATGAGCTTTCTCCAAGCTGTAATGTAAAAACTCACTTCAGTGTTTCTGCTCTGAAGTCAAACTTCGCAAGAGCTGGAGTTCTCTGCAGGAAAAATAAAAATGTCAGAGCAGGACACAGTTCCACACATCATTTCTCATAAAGATGGCAAAACAGACAACCATTCATCTGCTGTTGTTAAAAACATCATCTTTACCCATAATTCATAGCAGTCACCCATAGTATCTGTCCAATGCCATACTTTATACTTTTGTAACTTCAGTAACCATGATACTGTAATTGTGGTATACCTTAATTTTTGCAGACAAAAGCTAAGAAAATGAGAACATATTTCTACTAAAGAATGCCAAAAGTGATGACTTTGTTTACACTGGCATTTTTCTTCACTGGGACTGTGTTTAGTCAAGCTCCTTGAACACACATTTTGATGTCAGACACTTATAATTACTGTAGTAACATGCACCAGATAACAGCATTTATGTAAATGCACTGACATTGTATCTTTGTCTTAGCATGTTGTTTTTTCACCCGCAGGCAGCTCTGGACACACGCCAGCCAGCTGCCGGACTGGGTGCGGTCACCAGGAAAACCAGCCCGCTTGACTAACAATGACATCTTATCTTAACAGGACTGGCTTCAGTTTCGATATCTGTGCCACATTTCCAGGTCTGTAATGACTACATCACAAGCAGAAATTTCAAGAAGGCACAGATTCCTTCTGTTTAAAAGAAAAATGTTGTATTGTCAAACAATGAAATGCCAGAGGGGAAGGCAGCCCGGGCAGAGGTGTGCACAGTCATGAGGGGAGGCCTGTGGTCTCTGGGTGGGCGAGGGAGCCAGAAGCGGGCCAAAAACGAAATTCCTGTCATTCGTTAACAGCACATTGTTTGTAACACTCAAGCAAACGAAACGGACAATATTTTGAACGCAGTAGCTGACATGGTACAGACCATGGCCCCAGACTTCCTCTTCTCTGTGTCGGTGATGTTAAGCAAGTCCCCAAAGCGCTCGTTTGTGATGAACTGATGGTGTGAGAGCACCAGCCCCGTATGACGGCGGGATGCTGCATCTGCCTCTTCCTGCTCTCGCTTCAGACGCCGCTGCTCCTCCAGAATTTTCTAGCAGGGAGAGAGACCTTAAAAACTTCTCACAAGGGGATTCATCACTGTTTACACCAGGGAAACCATCAATTCATTTTCCATACCCACTTATCCTATGCTGGGTCTAGGGGGTCTGGAGCCTTTCCCAGAAGCTACGGGCACAAGGCAGGGGATTACCCAGGGTGGGGAACCAATGCATCACAGGGCACTCTCTCTCTCTCTCTCTCTCTCTCACTCACTCACTCACTCACAGGTTTGTAATTAGACTCTCCATTCATTTTTATGGAGAAAACTCTAATGATAACATGACAATCTTAACCACTACCCAGCCCTAACCATAACCATAAGGAGACAGAGGTAAGGAGCATGAATTGATGACAGCGTGTTGCTGCACCCACCACATGACAAACCACCTCAGGGAGGAGAACCTGAGTGCAGCCATGCAGCAGATGATATCTCAGCACTACACTAGTCTGGATGGAACAGTGTGAGTTTTTTCCAGTGGCTGGAGTGCCAATCCTGCCACCAACCCCCAAGTTTCTCCCTGTAAGTTGGAGGACCTGCTTGCAGGGCTGGATGTAGATTTACGTCATACCCAGAATGAAGCGACTGCAGGTTAAGGGCCTTGCTCAAGGCCTCAACAGAGCTGGATCACTCCTGGCATTCACAGGATTCAAACCAGCAACCTTCTAATTGCTGGCACAGATCCCTAGCCTCAGAGCCACCACTCCATCCACAACCATAACCATAACTAACCAATGAAAATGAGACTTATGGCATTTTTACATTTTTGATTGGATTCACAGATTTTTGTAGATACCTCAAAAATGGTCCCCACAACTTAAAAAAAAACAGGTTTTGGTCCCCAGAATGTAATATAAACCTAATCCCACACCCATACGCCTAAAGGAAATTTGACAACTCCAGTTCACCTCAGCATGCTTTTGGACTGTGGAGATAAACCTTAGGATTCAGAGGAAATCCCATGAAGACGTGGGAAGAACACACAAACTCCACACACGTGGAACTCACAGAACACACATAGACTCAAACCCTGGTCCCAAAGCTATAAAGCAACAGTACTAACTAATGTGCCACCATGATGCCCCTGCAGGAAACCAGGGACTGGGACCTTGCAAACATCTCACACTGGGTCACATACTTATCTTAAGTTAATAAGGTTTCCCAAATATCTTGCACTGAGACCAGATCAGAAATTAGTTTATTTTTATTTATTAAAAAATCATTTTAATGAACTTGTAACATCGCTATCTGAAATTGTTTGAAAGGTACCCTTCTGCTAAATCAAATCAATTTGGTGAAAAATTTGAGAGTGAAACAAAATATTACTTCTTTGTCACTGTAGCGTCTTCGAACAAGATCCTCAGAGGTGTCCAGGGCCTCCCCAGGGGTGAAATGTCGTGGAGAATCAGAATCTACTTGAGAAACAGTCAGAATTGAGATTCAGTCAATCATAAAAAATGTGCATTCAGGTCTTCCAGAGTACAGGGTTATTTCATGTTCATGTTCAGAAATGCAGACACCAGCAAATCTGCTAACAGATGCAGAAGGTTTGGGACATAGGAATGTCATTGCATAGAGGCTGTGAATGTAGAGAAGGAGACTGATATGCTTATAGGGAGGTGGAGTGAAGAAATGGAAAGATGGAGAAAAGTTGTATTATGGCGGGGTTATTAACAATGTGTATGAGGGTGGGATTATGAGAATGCATATGATGATGGGATTATGAGAATGCATATGAGGGCAGGGTAATGAGAAGCTGATTGTAATGAGATGAGCGTGTAGACAGACACACATGACACACTTGAGTACAGAGAAACACACAAATCTATGCATGTACAAGCAAAAGTTCTTTTGTATGTAAAGGGAACACACAGAGATTACTACACACCATGAGATATGTATGATTTAACTTTATAGCTACAGTATATATTTATATACATATATTCAAAGACACAGAAAAAGAAAACTATTGAGAATGGATGACATGTCACACACACACAAAAAACAAGAAACATTACATGTGTGAATTATCCACATTTCAGAATGTCATAGGGTGTTGACCATATCGCTGGACAGGCTTGATCGAGCATGCTACAGTCATTCTGTCCTGTTTTCTCATTTTTACTACATTTAATGGCTTTCAGATGTGCAATCCAGCAGCCAGTGATGTAACAGGACTCTTGCTCATCCAAGGCATGAATGCTTATGGGGTGGTAAAGGCACAGCCACCTCTGTTTGAAGGAGGCAAGTAACATCAGAAGGTCTTCAAATTGCCGCCTAGTGCTCAGCATATCCTAGTGACCCGTCCAAGTACATTTTCAAAGAGTGATACTAATTCAAAAAGAATCATGACTAAATACAAAGAAGAACAACAGAAAATGCTCTGAATACAAAATTATATATTTTATAATAACCACTTATGGTTAGTGTAAATAATTTCTTTAGGATAGCCACTGTGTGTAATAATTATAGACAGACCTGCATAATACCTTAGTGTTGCAACAAAAATTACACATTTGAATAATAATGTGAATAGTATTTCCACAAAACAATTTGTAATGCAGCATAGAAACAGCAACAAGGAGTGAAAAAAATTGGCAGAGGGAAGGAAGAAGGAGAGCAAACCAACAACTGAAAGAGTCAGAGAGTAAGAGTCAGAGAAGCAGAGTCAGGGAGTCAGAGTGCCGGTCATGTGCAAGAATAATCTGACACAGCAGAATGAAGGAGCGTTTGACATGGAAACATCCAAAAACTCCAGTGATGTTACTTAGTACTTTGAAATATGTGTGTAATAGTAATGCTTAACAATTTAGCACTTCCCATTAAACACTGTTATTGGTTTTACATTGACTTTCAGAATATTCTATGGAATAACCAAAATTTCTGATATCAAAGCCTATGATGCATGAACTGCTGTAGGGCTGTCTGCTGAAAGTTACTGGTAACAGACCTTCGGGTAATGTAGTGAGGGGGGCGGGGGTGGGCACAAAGATACAAGGCATCAGAGCGGGAGCAACGCAAATCAGCATCAGGACACTGACAGCACTCTGTCCTGACTGACTCTCTCCATAAAGGCCAATTAATGTAGCAAGAGTTAGAAGGGGAAACAGATACGACATAAAGGCCAGCCCAGAATAAACCACTTCAAACAGGACTGGATGATGCCTTTAACAGAATTTTTGATCTCCAAACATGCATGTCTATGTGTTAAGGAGTGTTAAATTGCTGTTGTTACAAAAACCAAAATAATTCTATTGACTTCAAATAAGATTTTCTGCATTAAAACAATATTGGCAATATACAAGCTGAGTGACTGAGAGCACCATGTCACTGTCACAGAGCCGTCAGGGTCATGTAATGAGGCTGGACATGGTGACAGGAGTGGGAAGCCTGATCTCTATGCTGGCCCTCACCATGCCTGGCTGCACCTCTTCATTCATCATTGAGCTGCTGGTTGACAGGTGTCCAGAGGACCAGGTCCGGACAAAGCAAGCTAACAAACAGACTGACTCAGCTGATTTGTCACCTGTGTTTCTATAAAACTACGTCCAGCGATGGTGACAAGTGACCCATCACACAGACTGAAATGAGGACCCCGGACTCACTCGGGGCAGACGAACAGGGAGAGGATACGGGGAGGCATGAATGGCCAGAGAGATGATGAGAGAATGTGGCACAATGATGAAAATAGCCACCTCTGGGGGGCGCTGCCCTCAGCTTCAGTGAGTTTCTGTTGGAGTCCAAGTTCTCCTGACTCAGCTCAACATGGCTGCCATTAAGAAGGCTGTCGCAGTTGCCCGCTGGTGTTGGGGAGGTGCCCTCAACATTACTCAGCCTCTCCAATACCTCCAGGGAGGACATTCGCAGTGGAATGACGGGCCTGACACCAGGCATGGAAACTTCTAGGAGGTCCAGGTTTAAGGAGCCAGCCGTGGCCTTGGTGCCCAAGAAGACAGTGGTCTTTTTCGCTTGGGATCCAGGTGGCACCCTCCGGAGGCGGAAAGGGGCAGGGCTCATAAAGTGCAGGTTGCCCGGATAGGCAGCCCTTGGCTCCTGTGGGCCTGGCAGGTCTGGCCCTGTGGCCACCTGCTGCTTCTCATGCCGCCTGATGGTGGTGAAGCGGGTATAGGAGGCGGGACACGTCCCCTTGCACTTATTGGACTTTATTGTGGGAGGGAACCGTGGCAAGCCATTGGGTGTAGCCTCTGAGCTGGTGCCTGAATCACTCTTATGTGCACAGCAGAGGTCCACTTTGGTCTTTTCTTCAGAACTGTGGTCCACTTCAGTCTTGTGTCCAGAGCAGCAGTCCACTTCAGCCTTTTCTCTGGAACTGTGGTTCACTTCAGCCTTTAGCCTGGAGCAGTGGTCCATGGTGGTCTCTTGTTCAAAGAAGTGATGCTCCTCAACTTTGTGTCCAGAGTAGTGGTTAATTTTGATCTGTTGTCCAGAACTGTGGTGCACTTCAGTCTGTTGCCCAGAACAGTGGACCACTTTGGTATGGTCTCCAGAGAAGTTCTTGAAAGACATCTCAGCCTCTCCGGCGTCTCTCATCTTTGAGGATGCTGTCAGCTCTGGCTGAAGCAGCCAGTCCTTCTTGTGGTAGTCGCTGGTAAGCAGAGACTCTGCAGAGGTTGCAGATGCAATTTGGCAGGGGGTGTGGCCAGAGTCAGCTGCCAGGGTGGGCAGTGAGCAGGAGCGCTGGATGATCTGCTCAAATTCAGTCACCCTCGAGGATACAGCCTGCCGTGGGACACCCTTTGGCCTCTCCCCTTCAGATTGGTGGTCCCCCCGGGCACCACCCTCCCCCTCAAAGAGTGAGGCCAGACTACGCACACTACCCAAGGGGCTGCAACCCTCAGACCCAGGGCGGCGGATAACATGCATGTTCCGGTACAACAATGCAAACTCAGCCGTGCCCTTCTGACCAGGTGGGCGATCGGCAGGGCTCCTGGGACTGCTTGCCCGTCGCTCCATGCTGGTGTCCTGCAGGTCCTCACAGCTGTGGGCCTTGGGGTGCGCAGTGAGCAGGGCCTTCTTCTCCACCTGCTCATTGGGTGGGGGCAACAGCTTGGGCTTGAACTTGGAGGGCAGAATTTGTGGGATGCAAGCTTTGGCGGCAGACAGGGGCCTGTTACATTTAGAGTGTGAAGCTACGGTGCTATTGGGACGAGTGGAGTGGCTAGTTACAGAGGAGGAGGAGGAAGGTGAAATTATGTAGCCATTCCCACCTTTATAATCCACTGGCAGGCATGCAGGACAACAGAATAAACAGAATGTTAGTGCGGAGAACCGGGGTGGGGGGAGTGGGCAGACACACAGCGACACGCACCCCCTGCACAAGATGGCAGAGAGTATTCTCTATGAACACAATTCAGTGACACTCCAGTGAGGTCTGCTACAGTGACAGAGCTGCATGTTTACTTTTGGAAGACTGAAAATACAGACAGTACAATCCGAGAATAAAAGAAAGCGTTCTCCTCAGACCAAATGCAATGAGCCAATGTATTCAGCACAAAAACATACAATGAAATACTGAAATAAAAGTTGCCAGAATGACAAAAAATAAAATGAAAATCACCCAGGCACATAAATGGATTGCATGCCTTAGAACAGTCAGTTCAAGGCCTGTACCAGTTTCATCAAAGACATCTTACAAGTGCACAGGCATTCATTGAAACTCAAGTTGTTTTCCAGTTACTAAAGGAACAATTGCATCAGGTGATAACTGATTAATGTAGAGCAACTAAAAACACTCACTTGATACACTGTGATTTAACTGCATTTCTGAGACCCCACAATCTACATATAGAAGACTAAATTTCAGAATTCCATATATTTCTTCAAGAAAATGACACGTTTTGTGTGTCTGTGCTTCTCTGATCCATATCACGAGGGGGTTACAGTGGGAACCAGCCTCCATATGACGTACAGCATATACAGGCATATACGTACAGCAACAATGCTAAACAAGCTAGCAGTTTGCTGCTACCACCGCCTGTTACTCTTCATTTTGAACATGTTAAACTTGGCACATTAATTTTATCCCAGAAGGAGGCAGCAGAGAGCTGCTTAAAAAGCAGAGCACTTCCAAAACTTACTGAATTACTTCAAATAAGGATGTATAAGGAAATGAGCAATTCATTGGTTAAGCCTTCAGGGACAAAAAGCTGGCTCTAGTTCTAATATTCTAAAGAAAAAAATCAAGTATGTTTACAGGATAGAGTATAACAGCTACTTATCTGAAAGAATTTACCATTAAAGAATAGAATGCAGCAAAAGTTGATGCAAAAGATAACTAAAGGGAAAGTAATTATAAGTAAAAAATAACCATATGTGCAGTGCTTTCAGATGTTAGATCCTGTCTTAGCCTGAGCATGTGACACAGTAATGGCCAAGCCAAAAGCACACAGCTCCTTATGGGTATGTGTGCAAGCATTCCACCCTCCAACCTCTGACCTCTGACCCACTCACACAAGTGACTTCCTCATGTCAGCTCAGTCCTAGATGCACTTCTTGTTTACCACCCCTCATTTCTTCATTTCCTTTCTGTGCCTGTCTCCCTGCTAGATGATCATTGCCCTAAGCCAGTATAAATACATCTCTAGGTGTCTTCCCCGAAAAGTTGGGCCATCTCACCTGGAAACCATTTTTTTTTTACTTCCTGACTTTTTTGTGTATTGTTTCCAACTCCACAACAGGAACTGTGACCTTTATATTAAATATGCATGGGAGACACAAAAAGCTTGTAGTGTTAAACTTCATACATAATTTCACACGAAACAACACCACCACACCAAAACAATGGAGGATGAACAAGTCATTTTGTTAGATATAAGTTAGTTACTAGGGGATTGATTGTGTATTCCAAAAATATGAGATGTATTTATATTTTATTTATAAAGCACATGACATGTTTATAATGATACATTATTATAACATTATTAAAACTGGCCAGCAAATCAATCTTTAGTTTTCCACATAATAAAAAATGATGTAACGTTATTTCACTAATAAGTGCTGGAAAATCTCACTGCCCGCACCAGCCATATTGGACAAAAATATGTGGGTTATGGACTGAATTTTCTGATGTGGAAATATGGAGATACAACCAAAATTGATTCATAAATTTAATGTAATTGGGATACAAAAATAACTCGATCTGCTAATTTTTTGCTCCACTCTTTTCCATTATCTTTTTCACCGCACTTCCACACAACATCCAAGCTAGCGCTGGTGTTTGTGGTGAACCAATCAGCAAAGTTCGTCATTATAAGCCCCACCCAGTTCTTTGAGAAGTACCCCAATGAAGGAACAAAAACAGGTTCAGGAACTACATATTAGGAACTACAGTCGGGCAGAATTCTCACAGAGGTAAATTGACAGAAGTTCCTGGTTCCTGAAAAAGGTTCAGGTTCCTGAAAAACATTCCTGCAGTGGGAAAGTACCTTTTGGATTCTGAGCTCAACACTTAACACTTATCAATGGACATCAAGCTGGACCCAAAGAACTGAAAAGCCAGGATATAGGTTTGATCCATGTTGCTCCCAAAACACTCGACTCCTTATCCTCCACCACTGATCTCTCTGATCCAAGTTGCTACCAAAACACCCAACTCCTCATCCTCCACCACTGATCTCTTTGATCCATGCTGCTCCCAAAATGCAACTTCTCATCCTCCATCCACTGACCTCTATGTCCAAATAGGACCAATCAAACTGTAAGTGTCTTAGTATGAATATTACACTCAGCATTGTTTAGCAGTTCATCTGTCTTTAGCAGATCTGTTTTTTCACTGACTGGAAAAATTACACAAAAGATTGTTTAGCTTATGCACTGAATTGGCAGGTGAGAAAATATCAAAACTGCGTAACTGGGAATACAGACAAATGATTCAGATGGAAGCAAGAACAGAAGAAAGAGAAGTGATGACAGCAGGATGGTGTGCAGAGCACCACCTTGGGGGCTGGTGGTGACTCTTACCTTTAGATGAGGAGGAGCTGGGGCTGCGCTTGTTCAGGGCATGTAGGCCCTGCAGGGGAATATCCCCACCCTCCAGGACACTCTTGTAAACGTGGCGGTCTCCGGGCTCAGCAGCAGCCGTGGTGCCCATGCCTGACTCATTTTGGGAGAGTCTATATGGTGAACTGGTGGGAGGAGATAGGAGCTGTCAGGAGTCAGGCAAAAATGACACAGACTGCGCTTTCTGACAGGTGCTGATCACCGGCACCTCAAGGCAAGCAGCCAATCAGGGGCAGAGTAACATCTGTCTGCCCTACAGCAGGTGTGATATGTGACAGGATGGCTTGGCCTGAGTGAGGTGCTTCACCTGTCCCACTCCTGCTGTGAGGCCATGGGTGATGGCATCAGGCAGGACAGGATCAGGACAGTGTGCCCTGCAAGTGGGTGCAGCGTTGCCAGGGACACGTCACAAAGAAAAGTGGACTCCTGGGCCGCAAACATGTGATAACACTAATAATGCTAATGATGCCAACAATGCTAAGGGGCTTTTAGTGCCGGGGACTGAGGCGCCATACCGCTAACAGGAAATAACACCTATCACCGAGGGCTCGAGATGGGGAGAGTCCATCTCACAGGGGGTCACACAGGGAATGTGATACAAGGAGTATGACAGTGCATGCTATGATAACCCTAAGCTGCACATTAGCAGGGTAAATATAACATGGGACATTCCTACACACCATTCAGCACGTCATGACCCTGTCACCTCAGTGTCCAGTTAACACAAATACTGAGAGTGAACACTGTGCGTCTCCACATGCACCAGCTTAGCACCAGTTAACTGAACACCTGCCCCCGCCCACTCCAACAGCCGTTAAAAAGCAGGAAACCTTGGCAGGCAGCCAGTCCCTCCCTCCAGCTAATAAAACACATTAAAGAGCCAGGAGCATAGAAACTGCATTCAGAAATATACACAGAAAAACAGAGTTTACCATTTGGGTATTCAGGGATATCACTAGAATCTCAGTATAACTAGCCACTGTTCTTACAGGTGAGTGTGAAATTGGACACGTTAAACCTTTAAATGTACCAAACCTGAATTTATTCAGTATTTTTCATATCTCTATCCATAGCACAAGAAGAATATTTACACCTCACTACAAAAGAGTGAAACAGCATAGAAATCCAAGTTAAGAAACTAAATAAACACAGAATGAAGTGTCGGAAAGTGGCACAGCTTATTTTTCACTTTATACTGAGTTTTTATGGTCTCACTAAAGGAGGGACGGTGGGTAAAACTGAACCGTAGCTTTAAGAATAATGACAGGATACTATAAGAAAAAGGAGGCCATGAAGAGGCCAAAGCCCACATACTCAAGGTACTTAGATCCTCCACCAGCGTAATGCTGACACAGACACACGTTGGCGTACCTATCTAAATGGAGACCTTCCATTCATTTCTATGGGAAAACACCCAATCCCAGTCACAACAACCTTAACCCCTACCTAGCCCTAACCTTAACCCTAAGTAACCAAGCAAAATACAAGACTTTTACCATTTCTACTTTCACTGATTTTTATAAAAGTGAGGTTGTCCAAATGTCGACCTGAAAAATGTCCCCAAAAGTAAGTTTTAGGTTTTACCACACTTAGGGGACATTTTGGTCTCCAAATGTGATCTATGCAAACCCCTCCCCACGCACACATAGTGTCCTCCCTACACACATACACACACAATGCACTCCCTCAAGCATTCCTCACATTCTTTTCAGAAACATAAACAAAGCGTTTGCTCAAGGCCATTACTCAGCCCCCTGGCACCCTCTTCTTCCCCAGCCATGCGACACATTACAGGTCCCATCCAGAATGTGTATGGCATTATGTGGAGGTGCGCTAGCTACCAGATTGCCCACTTTATCCTGGGGTGTTTGTTTGAAAAGCTAGCGCACGCAGAGTTAGGCTAACGGGACTGCAGGCAGGAAGCTGGGGTCCCCAACGGGGGAATCTCATCAGGGTCTTTCGCTATAAACTAAAACCCAGCATCAGTATAAGGGAAGATTCTGACACAGAGAATGAGACAGGGCAGGAAAACAGGAAGAAAGACAACCCAGACAGAAAGAAAAGAACAGCAGACTTACTATTGATGGAGGTCGGAGGGTGTTTCCAGGGGGCTGAAGGAGGGGGCACTCTGCAACAAGCCAAACAAAGAAGTCATTGATAAATCCGCAGGGGTACTGTCTCTAGCAGAAAGAGCCCGCGGACCATCTGTTGGGAAGGATCCTCCAGTCTTCTGAAGCGTAGGATTGTCTGTTCTTATACAGCAGCCACTGCATGGAGGAATAACGGTGTGTTTTGGCCCACACGTAACTTGAGGAAAAGCAAGCACGACAAGGAGGGGGAGTGTTTGTCGGTCAGGGGTGCCTGGAGGGGGAGGAGTCTCCTTGCCTCTGAGCCAATGGATGATGACGACCTATGGGGACCCATTCTTTTGTCTGGGAGTGAGTCACACTCCTGACCACAAAGGAAAGCACACAGGCGGCCAGCTGGTGAACCCCACACACACACACACACACACACACACACACACGTGTACGAAAAGACACTCAGCCACATGCTCCCGGCTGCCTCCCGTAAAGCACGTATGACACTAACTTGTGTTAATGCCTGCTGGGAAAAAGTCCACATTTCAGGGAGTTTTTTAATGAAGCCCATCGTCATGCAGAGGCTCTGCCTGCTCAGGGGGCACTAAATTTAGGCCCTGTTACTATTCATTTTCTTCCTGCTTGCGTCACATGGGCCAAAAATAACAGGTGTGGCTGGGGGCTATGAATGATGGCCAAGCTATGTTTGCAAATAAATGTTGCACAATCACTGTGGCTCTTGGCGACACTGGGCCCCAGTGGCGCGCCACTTATGTAGCCACATTTTTTTGGGAGGGGTGGCTGGGGGTTGCTAGGGGAAGGGAAATCATTAATGACCTTTCAAAATGAACATCTCACTTAATGAAAAAGGATTAGTGAAGCTGCATTGCACATGGGGCTCCATGCTGAACAGCCACAGTGTGAGAAAGTCTGTTTCCACTGCCTCATCTTCCAGGGATTGTCCAAGGGCCAGAACTAAAGCACATAGCTGCCTTGCGTATTTAGTGGGTCGGAAGTGCTCAGGAATGGAAGGAGGGATGTTCTATGCACAGGTTTGTCATGACAGAACAGTCGGATGATTCATATTTGCCACAGCTGTCAGAGAGTCAAGGCGTCACTTTCCGATTCTTTTCTGATTTTGAGGATTAAAGCTGCGAGACTGTATCCACACGCCAGTCGCTGAAAAAGGTCAGGAACGGCCTCCAGTGACATCAGCTCACAGAGATGAGATTCACTAGCAGCCTGATGCCTAATAGTGCTCTCTACTCAGCAGCCATGCCTGCTATCAGTTAATGTCAGCTATGGGGAGTGAATGGAGGCATCACAGTGTCAGCTTTCCAAAGATATTAATATAAACCTAAAAATAAAAAAGAATAAAAAAATTGTGCTGTTAACCAAAATGAGCATGAATAAATATTAGAAGCTGTTCACTGCACTACATCTAAGTGGTGAAGGCGACCCTTAGGCGGTCCACTGACCTTTTTCTGGGCCGTGGCTGTAATGTGGATAATTTTTATTAATAGAGCATTAAAATATGACAACGATTCCAATATTGATGCGATAACTATGTATGCAGGCAGGTGCTACTGCCGCTATAAATAAGCAGACATAGATGAGCTGTGCATCTTCTTTCCATATCAAAAATAGGCCAGGCAACCCACCAGCGCTCATGAAAGTGACCCTCTCCACCGGCGTGGCTTGTAAACAGCACCTGTGTATTGTTTCCACGCTTCGAGTTTTCGCTGGATATGAACGGCCCGTGTTTCCTGGGATGAAGGTCACTTTATTTAACCCAAATGATGTGTGGCAATGGCTTCCACAAACCAGCTTCAGAAAGTTACCCAGAATTCCTGCTGCAGCCCTAACTAATGGTCGATCTGGGTCCTGATCATTCACTCACTGATCATGAAGTTTATTTCAATGCTATACAGTCAGTCCTAATACAATGTGACTAATGCATTCCTGAAAAACCTCATGTTCACTAAACTTGTGTACAAAAATACACAGATACAATGGGAAAAATAGGGTTAGGGGAATGCAACTGTAAAATGCAGTTATGCCAAACAAAATGAATTAAATAATAAAAACATTTTCTTTTTAGATTTTTATAATCTAAGACTTTAACAAGTACAATGCATGAAAGTGGCCTACAAAATATTTGATTTGTTTAGGTAGTAGTGCTACACTGTGTTATGCTCAGATTCCATTCCAAGGTCAACATAGTAATCATGAGGTCACATCTGTGTGTCTGTCTCTGCAAAAAGCCTGAGGTCTGTGTCACACCCAATTCCTAATATCCACAAAAGTATTAAAACATGTGCTAACCCCCCTAAGCCCCTAACCCAAATCCCAATGGCCATGTTTACCACTAGACACCCAAAAAGCTAATGAAGGCCTTAATCCACAAATAATACTGAAAAGCACAGCTCCACAACAAACCAAGGTGTAAAGTTTGCTCTAAAAGAGTAAGGTTATTCAGGCTCTCCTTTAAGACACAGCACTTTTTTTGCTTTATGGAAACAAATCAAACACATAAATGATAGGACAGACATATAGCAAAGAGAAGCATGAGATGATGTCCTAGTCTCAGAACAACCTGCAAGTTTAAAGTGATTAGGCTGCACAAAAAGACCATATAACTGAACACTGTTAAGGCAAATAGGTACATTTTTAATGTTGAAACGGAAAATTAAAGTTTAGCTGTGCAACTTACCAGTTTTCCAAACTCCATCTCTGAAAAGAATTTATACCAAGGTTCATTCTCTAAATCTACATCTTCTGGACTTATATGCTGAGTCTACAAGGGCATGGTAACAAGGAGAAGAAGGACAAAGAGAGAACAAAGCAGAATTGAGCACAGAATAAGGACAAACACTCATGCATACAGTTACAATGAGTCTACCTTTGACCAGAATGAAACCTGAACACATCATGCTGAGAAAATGAGGGCTGCTCTGGGATAGGGAGCCTCAGTGAGATCACATCATTGTTACCTATGAATTTGGAGTAAATTCTGGCACACTGATAGAGGCCTAATCATCTCTGAACAGGAACACATTAAAATCATGATGACAAACACGGCTGAGAGGTTTTCACTGGATGTCTTGATATTTATTTCGTCAATCCAAATGTTTCTCCACCATTTTCCAGGTCTGTAGGACCAGTTGCCCCATTTCTTGTAGATCTCCCCTTCAAAGTATAACAGCATGTCAACTCAAGGGATAGGTACGTGCTATCACAGCACATCTGACGTGTATGCTGTCGGCGCCCCCTCCTGGCTAGTTAACAGGCTTCATTAGTAACATCTTTATTTCCATTCCAGCCACAGAGCTTGGTGGGGGGGGGGGCAACACAGTGAAGTAAGATATGCTGTAACATCTGTACCTCCTCCAGAATAAATTTTAAAATTTAGGCTTCATAGTTTACTTAAAAGACATTCATAATGTTTGGTTGGTAAAACATACTACAGTGATTCCCCAAAAATTAGACAGGGTCTTATATTACTTTTTGCTCCAAAAGATGTGTTAGGGCTTATTTTAAGGGGATGTCTTATTTTCCCATGTACAACAAAACTACAGAACATTTACCGGTATTCATGAACAAAAATCCACATTTATTCAAATACAGACATCATGTCATCTGTCACGTCCAGCTCCGTCCAATCCTCGTGTGTGCCACGCCCACCTCGTTACCTCCTGTTTCTGCCTGATTGTTCTCACCTGTTGCTCGTTACCCTCAGCTTGTCTTGTGTATTTAGTCCACGTCTCGGTTAGTTTCCCCAGTTCTATCATTGATGTTGTCCAAATATATGATATGGGGGATATGATTCAGGTCTATAAGATTCTAACGGGTCTGGATGCTGTTCAGCCAAATTACTATTTCAATATTAGTCTAAATACTAGAACTCGTGGCCATAAGTGGAAATTAGCGGGAGAACATTTTAAAACAAATTTGAGGAAGCACTTCTTTATACAGCGTGTAGTTAGAGTAAGGAATTGTCTTCCTGCTAGTGTAGTGGAAACTAAAACCCTGGGTTCCTTTAAATCAGAGCTAGATAAGATTTTAACAACTCTGAGCTATTAGTTAAGTTCTCCCCAAACGAGCTTGATGGGCCGAATGGCCTCCTCCTGTTTGTAAATTTCTTATGTTCTTATGTTCAAAGTAGTGCCTATTCCAGTCCTTGTCTGCCTGTCTGAGACCAATAAACCCCCGTTATTGGACTTCCTGGCTCAGCTTGCCTGTTTCCTCGCTCGTCTGCACCGCTTAACATGACAGAATGATAGAACTCGCCGAAAGCACAGCGCAGCAGACTGAGCACCAGAAGCTCGGTCTGCTGCAGGAAGCTGTGTACTGGCGCTCCCAGCCCGAGGTAATGGAGGATCCCATCACCCTGGAACTGGCCACCCGGGGCACGGGCCTCCCTCACGGAGGAGCGCCCGCCTGGACAGCAGTACCCGCTCGAGCGGGTACGCAAATGCCTACGGCGCCTGAGGGGAGCGTCTGACGGAGCGGAGAGAAGAACGCGTCGCCCTCAGCCTAGGCGACATGTTCGCGGCGGCTCCGGCTTCCGCCTCAAGCGGCAAAAAGAAGGAGCGGAGCAAGAAGAGGGCTGATATGCAGCAGGTAGAGACCCCGACTCTCTTCCTGGGAGCCTGCTCTCTGCTCCCCGCCTGGGAGTTAACCAGTGGGCACGAGAGCTCACCGCCCGCCTGGGACGACACCGCCGCTGCCCGCCTGGCCGGCTTCCACCTGGAGAAGCCGCCTCCATTGGAGGCGTATCAATACCGGCCGGAGCGCCTGCACAGCAGGGGGATCAGTGCCATCCGGGACGCTGTTCCCCGGGGCCCTAAAGCCCGTAAAGGGGCAGTCCGAGGCTTACCTGCTCCGGATCTGCCTGCTCAGGACGCACCTGTTCCGGACCAGCCTGCTCCGGACCCGCCTGTCCCGGACCAGCCTGCTCCGGAACCGCCTGTCCCGGACCTGCCAGCAGCTACTGTCGCCGCACCGCCCGAGGCGCCCCCTGCTGGCCACATGCCTGAGGTGCCTGCTGAGGCGCCCTCTGCTGGCCACGTGTCGGCGGCACCCGCTGAGGCTCCCCCTGCTGACCCTCCTGTCCGGCCAAACCTGCCTGTCCTGCCCATCCAGCCCGGCTCTCCAGTCCTGCCCGTCCAGCCCTGCTCGTCCGGGGTTGGGGCGGCACCACCTGCCGCTACCCCACCCACGTTCTCGCTGGCTGCCTCGCTGGAGGAAAAGACTCCTGGCCCCCCAGCACTAGACCCAGTCCCGGACCACCAGGACCCAGCTCTTCTCTCCGGTGAGGAGGAGGAGCTTGAGTGGGACCCCTCGGGGACCTCCCTATGGACTCCTTGTCCCCTGCCCCCTGGCTTGCCCGTTCGGCCCCTGGCTGTGGCTCGGTGGCTGCCTGCGGGGCCTGTGCCGTCGGCTCGGCAGTCGCCTCTGGGTCCTCCCCTGGTTCTTCGGTGCTGGTCCTCGGCCTCGTCTCCGGCTCCATGTCGGTCGCCTCCGGGCCCCCCTGCTTCGGTGGGGCGTCGGACGGCGCCTTCGCCAGCTCCGGCTTCCCCTCCGCCTGCTCCAGCTTCCCCCTCCTGCCTGCCTCCGGCGGTGATCCCTCCTGCTCCCTCCTTGTCCCCTCCGGCTCTCCCTCGTCCCGACCCCTCAGCCCCTGTGGGGTTCCCTCCGACTCCGGCGTCCCTCCCGCCTGCGGCCCATCCGGCCGCTGCCCGTCGCCCGCCTGGGCTCCCTCGGGCTCCCCTTGTTCCTCCTCCCTTTCCCTTTGTCCCTCCTGTCTTTGCTCCTCCTTCCTTGGTGTCTCCTGTGTTCACTCCTCCCCCTGTGGTTCCTCCGTTCTTTGTGCCTTCTGTGTCTCCCTTTCGGGTGTGCCTGTCCGTGTTTCCGGTTCTTTGTCGGGTCCTGTCTTTTTTCTTGTCTCTGTTCCTGTTCTGCCCACCTCGCTACCTCCTGTTTCTGCCTGATTGTTCTCACCTGTTGCTCGTTACCCTCAGCTTGTCTTGTGTATTTAGTCCATGCCTCGGTTAGTTTCCCCAGTTCTATCGTTGATGTTGTCCAAAGTAGTGCCTGTTCCTGTCCTTGTCTGCCCGTCAGAGACCAATAAACCCCGGTTATTGGACTTCCTGGCTCAGCTTGCCTGTTTCCTCGCTCGTCTGCACCTCTTAACGTGACATCATCTTCTAACCGTATCTTTCCATGTAAACAATCTAACGGTACATTCATTCATGAACAAAAATCTACTGAATAATAAATATTACTTCCTGTTTCCTGTTTACATATAATCACATCTCATTCTAGTTACCGTACAATCCATGGGATAGTAACTAGGGCTTATTTTTGGAGTAGGACTTATATTACGAGCATTCTGAAAAATCATGCTAGGGCTTATTTTTGGGGTAGGTCTTAATTTCGTGAAACATGGTAACAAGAGATCAATGACAAAATGAAAGCGACCAAGAACAGCAAACACACGCATTCCCACAAGACACTGTGACACTGCTAACACAAGCATTTCAATCAGCCTGACAGAGCAGCCAAACAAGTGATGTTCAGATATTTTTAGTGACAGCTTCAGTGTAAAATAAGATAAGTTCCTCTCTGAATGGAAAAAAGCTTTAACAAGTGACTCTTTTGTGGGTGATTGGCTAATGGAGCCCAGATCACCTCTGCCAATACACAACAGGGATAACATGGTGGAGGTATGGAGTTTATAAATTGATCAGATTTGGGAAACAAATGGCAATGAGTGAAAGAGAGGGACCATGTGAGTGGCAGCAAATTTCATCATTAAATATTTATCTCATATATTTAATTTTTGAATGTTTAGTTATTAAATAAAACTGAATATAAAAATTAAAGATTAAAAATATATAAAGTATATATAACTGTGATGTGGTCCTCTAATACTGCTTAGGATAATGCAGAATCTATAAGACCATAAATTTTAATCTAGTGTGGAGCATGTATATCTAAAGAAGAATACAGAACACATCCATCCATCCATAAATTTTCTGGTATAAGAGGTATAAGGACTCTGCAAACCGTTAGCAAGTTGGGAAAGGTTTCCTTTCAGAATGTAGACTACAGTATACGTAACTTTCAGATAACGGAGCTGTATTACAACAGCACGACTAGCAGAGAGGCTAGAGCTGAGCAATATGGCCAAAAATGTTACTGAGATAAAATTTTTCACGTCAGCCGATACTGATAATTATCACGATAAATGTCAAATTATTATGTTCTGCCCCCAGGGCAGTCTGTTTAATGTTTAATCATTTTAGTGCTGCCTCTGGTAAAGCGTGGTACTACATATGTACAGGATGCAGGAAGTGGTGCCATGTGTTAGGTGCAAGGAGGCTCCGATACAGTGATTTTCAATCTGTTACAATTCATTGATTTGGCCCATCATGATGTTTACAGATGTTTGTGTTTGTATTCAGTTAATCTTAATTGCTGAGTGATATTTAACATTATGTACCTTAACTTTTAGTGACAAATTGTCGCTTCCTGTATGTGCCGAACGTAATTTTGTAACTCTGACTTTACATGTGATGCCTTAGAGAATATGTTAACATATGTTCTCTTTTCAACATTTTTGGCATTTCAGTTTTACTCTTCTCTACCATATCAAGTTGCTCTGCAAGAGTCAATATTAAACAGCCAGAAACCTGTCAAGGGTCTGGAGAACACGCCCTGTTCTTTGACTTCATGCTTCCCTGCACACCATCTGCCAACATATCTTATTGGGATGAAGACAGTCCAACACAG